GGCGAGCATGGGGGGGGGCACAGCCGTACCCACGGGGAAACTGAGGCAGAGAGAGCCTAGCAGAGCCGAGATTAGAACCAGGTGCCCCGTGGCCATCGCACTAGCCGCTAGCCCGTCGCCCACGATCCCCGGCTATCGGGCACAACCCCCCCGCCCCCGGCCTCTGTAGGCAGGGGGTCTGAGCCAGGCTGGGGACCCTGGGTTTGTCCAGAGCCCGGGCGGGGTCGGCTCCTTTGGGTGCTGCCCACGGGGGCAGGGCCCAGGTGGTCTCCCTGCAAAGCCAATGGGTCCCCCCCAGGATGCCGATCGCTGCCCAGCCCCCGCCTGCTCTCAGCTGCCCACTCCCCCCCGGCAGGTGGAGGCTCGTGTCGGCGCCAGGACGTGAGCGGGCCCCACGGGACGGCCGAGGAAAACCACACGGAGCCGCCCCGCCGCGAGGGGACCCCGGCTCCAGGGGCCACTGCGACGAGGGGCCGGGCAGCGCGGGCCGGGCCGCTGGACCTGGGAGGACCCCCGGCTCCCGAGGGACGGACATGCCTCACGAGGGCTCCGGCACCGAGCGCCGGAGCCTCCCCTCCTCACACCCTAATCTCTCCTGGGAAATAAATGAACTCGGGGGCAGGGGGGAGCCGCCCTCCTCCTGGGGCTTATTGGAGAGAAAGTGACTCTGGCTTCTACCGGGACATTGGGGAAAAGCTCCCCCGCACCCAACACAGCCCTGCCGGTGCCCCTCACTCCCGACCCGCAGCCCCCTGCAAACCCAGCTCTGGTCCCCCCAGCTCCACCAGAGCCCCTCACTCCCAACCCACAGCCCCCTGCAAACCCAGCCCTGGTCCCCCCAGCTCTGCCAGAGCCCCTCACTCCCGACCCACAGCCCCCTGCAAACCCAGCCCTGGTCCCCCCAGCTCTGCCAGAGCCCCTCACTCCTGACCTGCAGCCCCTTGCAAACCCAGCCCTGGTCCCCCCAGCTCTGCCAGAGCCCCTCACTCCTGACCCGCAGCCCCCTGCAAACCCAGCCCTGCCCCCCCAAACCTCATCTTTGTTGCTGCTCTTCAGGGCCAAAGGTCAAACTAATCCCCCGAGTCACATTTTCCCGGTGCACTTGGGGCTCAGGGCTGGTAGCCAGCCCCCCTCGCCGTCCCAGGGGTCCCAGCAGACACGCCCGGCCCCGTGGATCAGCAAAGCGCTCAGCTGATGGCCGATGACGTAGTGCCCGTGTGTCGCTGCGCGGCCAGTGACTCCCCGGGAGAGGGCAGCGGCGCCCATAGGTGCCCACTCGGCTGCCACCCACCTGTAGGTGGTGTGGGGGACATAGACCTCATGGGCCGGGAACTCCAGGATCTCCTTGGTGGGCCGCACCCGGGGGTCCGGGTAGGGCTTGACGTGCAGCAGCTCCGGGGAGAGGCAGTAGTGGGGGCTCTCGGGCGCCGGTGAGATGTCCACCTTGAGCTGAGCTGGGGAGAGGAGGCGACGGGCCGTGAGGATCTCAGCGCTATGGGGCAGAGCCCCACGGCCAGAGCCGGCCCAGTGGCTGATGGGAAGGGAGGGCCGTGTCTACGCTACCACACCGGACTGAGCGCAGGGGCTGGTGGGAAGGGGCTCGAGGAAGACGTCAACAGGGGATGGCGCTGGGCACCTGGCCCAGGGCAGGGAGAAGGTGGGACCTGGGAGGGGTGGAGCTTGGGGGTACATGGGGCGGGGCTTGGAACTCCCCTCCCCCAGGGCTGCCGGAGGCTCCTTTGGCCTCGATGTAGATTAGAGCAGCCGTGAGGGCTGCCCTGGGTGCAGCAGCCCCTGTGGGTGTGGCTCTGCGGCTGTCCCCGGGGCCCCGCCCCCTGAAGGGGGCATAGTCAGATTCCCTGGGGGGCCTTACATCTGCATACGGGCCCCTAACCCCCCCCAACGCCCCCACGGTACACAGAGCCCGGCGGTGCCCAGCGGCCCCCGCCGCCCGCGTCGTCCCCGCCAGCCGCACCTGTGATGGGCCGCAGCCGGCGCAGCAGCGAGGATGGACGCCTCATGTCCGCCAGGAACTTGTACAGGTCCTCGGCGCTCAGACGGTCGCCTTCCTGCTGGGCCGGGCGGGTGTTAGAGCAGAGGGGCTGGCCCCACCCCCAAAGCAAACACCCCCCATGGCCCCAGGTGCTCCAAGCCCCGCCCCCAAACCACATACCCTCTGTAGCCCCGCCCCCAAACCAAATGCAGCCCATCGCACCCAGAGTAGCTCTGCCCCCCAAGCACCCTAAATGCTGCCTCCATCCACGCCGAGCCCCACCCATACTAAAAGCAAAGCAACCCCCCCCGCGCCAGCAGGGGGCGCCGCCCGTTACCTGTTTGAAGAAGTTGGTGACGGTGAGGGTGGCGGGACGGAAGCTGGCGAAGCTGCACAACTCCTCCCCGGCGCTCATGCGCTCCAGCGTCCTCCGCTTGCGCTCGTTCCAGGTGCCCCGGCGCTCTGCCGGGGAGGGGGGAGGGGAGTGGTCACCCCGGGCAAGCCCAGCAAAGCCCCATGGGCCGCGCCAACCAGAGACGCGCCCGGCTCCACTGGGCCTGCCGGCCGCCCAGGGAGAAGCCCGGCACCACCCAGCCTCTTCCCTGGGTGGCCCCCAGCTGAGCTGGACGACGAAGGATTTTTTTGCAGCCACCTCTGGGGTGGGAGGCAGCAGCTGCCAAAACAACCACTGGCAAGAAACCCGCGGCCCACTGTCCCCGCGGGCGGGGGGGGGGGGGAGGCTGGGGGTGCGGTCGGCACTCGGACGCGGGTAACAGGAACTGTTCACCGCCAGCAGCACCAGGACCTGGCTTTAGATCAAAACCTCCTGCAGCCCAGCGCCGCCCTGGGGCCAGTCCTGCCTGCCAGGGGAGAGCCCCCTGCTGCCCCCCGCCCTGCCCCCTGCAGCCCAGCACCCCCTAGTGCCCCCTAGGGCCAGCCCTGCCTGCCAGGGGAGAGCCCCCTGCTGCCCCCCGCCCTGCCCCCTGCAGCCCTGCTGCCCCTCGCCCTGCCCCCTGCAGGCCAGCGCCCCCTAGCGCCGCCCTGGGGCCAGCACAGGTCCAGAGGGCAGAACGCCCCCACCCAGCCCCGCAGCGCTGTGGGGAACGTCGCTCCGCGGAGGTCTCCGGACCGTGCCCACGCCCGGCTCAGGAGGCCGAGCCCCCGGTGGCAGAAGCCAGAGGCCGTGCCCATGCTCCCAGCCGGCTCACCGCTCTCGGCGTCGGCGGGGTCGCGCTCCAGGGACCCGGCGGTGCTGACGATGTTCAGGAGGTGGATGGCCGTCCAGGCGAAGGGCATGCGGTACCGGCCCAGTCGGCTACAGAACTGCTCCGCCGCCCCGCGCAGCTTCTCCAGCTTCTCCTTGTTCTGGGGGCAGGGACGGGCACGGAGTCACCCCGGCTCCCCCCGACCGAGCCCCCTGGGATATGGGGAATTCCACTGCTGCTGTCAGCGCGGTACCCCGCTTAGAGTGGGGGGGCTGGGAGCCAGGCTCCCTGGGAGGGGAGCGGTGCTGAGTGGTTAGAGTGGGAGTGGGGGGCTGGGAGTCAGGATACCTGGGTTCTCTCCCCGGCTCTGGGGGCAGTGGGGTCTAGTGGTTAGAGCAGGGGGGCGGGGAGTCAGGACTCCTGGGTTCTATCCCTGGTGGGGTCTAGAGGTTAAAGCAGGGAACACGGGGCAGCTGGGACCCAGGCGAGCAGCCCTGCGGACAGGGCTGGGTCTGGGTCCGGGGGCTGCGTGCACCTTGGCTGCGTCCGTCTCCTTCATGACCATGTAGGGCTCACAGCAGTCCCCGATGTCCCCCTGCTGCAGCACCTTCTCCAGCTGGGGGGGAAGAGAAGAGAAGAGAGTGACCACTGGGGAGGGGAGTGGGGGCCAGTGCTTAGAGTGGGGGGGGCTGGGAGCCAGGACTCCTGGGTTCCACCCCCAGCTCTCGGAAGGGAGTGAGGTCTAGTGGTTAGAGCCGCACGGGCGCTTGCAGAGCAGCGGAGAGGCCAGGCCACACACACACCCCTCACCTTGATGACCAGGAAGATGTCAGGGGAGGGGTGGGTTATGGAGAAGATGGCGGACCGCGCCAGCGTGGAGATGGCGGGGTGGCCGCCGGGTGCCCGCAGCAGCCCCTTCACCTGATCCGAGTTGAGGTCGAAGTAGAAGTTCTCGGAGATCTAGGGACAGAGCAAAGGTGAGAGCAGGAGACAGCGCCACCATGTGGGCTGGCCTAGGCCCCGCCCCTCAGCCCCACCCCCTGGTCAGTACGGGCCCGGGCCCCATCCCTCACCCCGCATCCCTGCCCCCTGGTCAGTACAGGCCAGGGACATGCCCCTCGCCCTGCATCCCTGCCCCCTGGTCAGTACGGCTGGACCCCGCCCTCGCCCCTCAGCCCCGCCCCCTGGTCAGTACGGGCCCGGGCCCCGTCCCTCACCCCGCATCCCTGCCCCCTGGTCAGTACTGGCCCGAGCCCCGCCCCTTGCCCCGCATCCATGCCCCCTGGTCAGTACGGGCCCGGGCCCCGTCCCTCACCCCGCATTCCTGCCTCCTGGTCAGTACAGGCCAGGGACATGCCCCTCACCCTGCATCCCTGCCCCCTGGTCAGTACGGCTGGACCCCGCCCTCGCCCCTCAGCCCCGCCCCCTGGTCAGTACAGGCCAGGGACATGCCCCTCAGCCTGCATCCCTGCCCCCTGGTCATTACGGCTGGACCCCGCCCTCGCCCCTCAGCCCCGCCCCCTGGTCAGTACGGGCCCGGGCCCCGTCCCTCACCCCGCATCCCTGCCCCCTGGTCAGTACTGGCCCGAGCCCCGCCCCTTGCCCCGCATCCATGCCCCCTGGTCAGTATGGCCCGGTCCCCACCCCTTGCCCCACATCCCTGCCCCCTGGTCAGTATGGGCCCAGTGTCACGGAGTATTGGGGGACTCAGGGCCCTGCACCCCCGGCTTCCTGCGATTCACCATGACTCTCAGCCAGCCAGTAAAGCAGAAGGTTTATTTGGATGACAGGAATACAGTCCAAGACAGGTCTTGCAGGCACAGACAACAGGACCCCCCTCAGTTAAGTCCAGCTTGGGGTCCCAGGGCATTCCAGCCCACCCCCCTTTGGGGGTTCAGAGCCATCTCTGCCTCCCAGCCATCTCTCCAGCCCGCTTCCAGCCCTCTGCCTTCAGCGACCCCTCCCACAGCCTTTGTTCAGTTTCCCGGGCTAAGGAGTCACCTGACCTCCAACCCCTTCCTGGGTTCTCATGTTACACACTCAGGTATGCGCCCTCGGGCAGATCCCATCCTCCAATGCAGACTATCCCAGCCCCACTCCCCTGTCAGCATTCACAGACCACAGTGAGAACAGGCCCAGTTCGTCACACCCGGGTCCTGCCCCTCGCCCCGCATCTCCGCCCTCTGGTCAGTACGGCCCACGGCCCCGCCCCTCGCCCCGCATCCTTGCCCCCTGGTCAGTACAGCCAGGGCCCTGCACCTTGCCCCGCATCCCCGCCCCTGGTCAGTAGGGCTGGACCCCGTCCCTCGCCCCGCATCCCCGCCTCCTAGTCAGTACGGGCCCGGGCCCTGCCCCTCGCCCCACATCCCCGCCCCCTGGTCAGTACAAGCCCGTGCCCTGCCCCTCGCCCCGCATCCCTGTCCCCTGGTCAGTACAGGCCAGGGACATTCCCCTCACCCCCGCCCTCTGGTCAGTACGCCCCTTGCCCTGCATCCCAGCCCCCTGTCAGTATGGCCCAGGCCACGCCCCTCACCCCACATTCCCGTTCCCTTGTCAGCAGGGCCCTGACCACGCCCCGTGCCCTTCATCCCCGCCCCCTGAACAGTATGGCCCGGGCCACCCCCCTCAGCCCTGCCCCCTCATCAGTACGGCCCAGCCCACACCCCTCACCCTGCATCCCTGCCCCTCTGCCCGGTAGGTACAGACCCAGCCAGGACATGCCGCTCACCCTGTGTCCTTGCCCCTCCTTTCAGGCAGTACGGCCCAGGACACGGCCCTCGCCTCATATCCCTGCCCCCCCATCCGGTCAGTACAGCCAAGGACATGCCCCCATCCTGCGTCCGCGCCCCCTGGCCTGGCACATGCCCCGATGGGGTGGGGCCATCGGCTACCTTTTTCTTTTCCTTGATGTCATACAGGGCGAGGGTCCCGAAGATGGGCTCGATCTCGATCTCAAACCTGGTGCCGGAGAGATGGTGAACGTGTCAGGGCCCTTCTGGGGGAGTGATAGCCCCCCCGCCAGCCACCGCCCCAGCCCCACCCTCCTCGGCACTCAGGGGCCAGCTCGGGGGGGGAACGGGGTTAGAGCGGGCGGGGGGAGGGGGAAACTGGGAGCCAGGATTCCTGGGTTCTATTCCTGGATCTGCCACTGACTCACTGGGCCGCCATGGCCAAGCCCTGCCCCCAGTGCCTCAGTTTCCCCTCTAACAGACATCACTGCCCCCACATGCCCCCCCGAGGTTTTAGGGATGAGTAGGGCTCAGCATGGACGTCCAAGGCTGCGCTGTTTGCCCTCACAGCCAGGCCACCCTCCTCCTCCCATTCGCTGAGGGGAGACGGGAGACAGGGGACACCCCCCCCCACACCCGCTGGACTGGCCCAGCCCCCAGGGCAGTTCGCTTGGCTCTGTTAGGTGCCTCCCCACAGCGAGGATGGAAATGCTGCCTCTCCCCGGCCCCGTCGCTGCCATGATGGGGGGTGACTTACTTGAGAGAAAGGCACTTCACCAGGATCCGCTGGCCAAAGTGCTCCCGGGGGACCTCGGGCAGGCTGCAGCGCTCCACCGCCTCGTCCTGCCGGCCGGGGGAAGCAGCGGTGAGAGCGGCCCGAACCCAGCGCCCGCCCGGCGCCCCCCAGCCTGCCTCACGCGGCCACCCAGACCCTGCCTTTATACCCACTGCACGGGCAGGCCCTGCACAGGCACCGGGGCTCTATTCCCGGCTCAGCTCTGTGCCTCAGTTCCCCCCCCCCCCACCGCGGTATGTTTAGACTGGGAGCTCTTGGGGCTGTGATGTTATTCACATGAACTGTGACCGTATAGATCGTTGTTGTAACCACTGTTATATATTTGCAGCAAATATTGTACAAAGGTTGTCGTGTGAGGTGTCTACGAAGAGGTTATAATTTGCTGGTTAGGATGATGCTGTCTGTGCGTGTGTCTCATTTGTGCAGTTGAAATTAGGAATATTGGCTCTGTACTTGTATCTCAATGTGTTTGATTCTAAGTAGCCTCAGTGAAGCATTTGGTCGGCTTCTTGAGAAGGGGCTATTCTCAATAAGTGTCCAGTTAAGAAACACTTAATGGACGATGGACTTTGGGAGATGCCAATCCACATCTGAGCTTTCCTGGGAACCTTCAAACTAACATGGAAACAATGGCGTCGGCCTGTAAAGAACTGAGTCATGCACGGACATGTGACTTGCCCATGTGACTCCAGACTCCATCTTGCGGCTGTGATTTTCCACAGTAAGAATGGAAGGGTCCTTCCGTGGGCAGAGGATATAAAAAGCCCTGAAAAACTCCTCCATCTTGTCTTTGCTCCTACTTCCGACCTCTGGAGGAACCTTGCTGCAAACTGAAGCTCTGAACAAAGGACTGAATGACCCATCCCAGCTGGGGATGTTCCAGAGACTTGATTTGAACCTGCAGTTTATTCCATCACTGCTACAAGCCTGAACCAAGAACTTGGCCATTTCTGTGTGTCATTGATTCCATGTAACCGATTCTAGCTCTCATCCAGATCTTTTTCCTTTTATGAATAAACCTTTAGATTTTAGATTCTATAGGATTGGCAACAGCGTGATTTGTGGGTAAGATCTGATTTGTATATTGACCTGGGTCTGGGGCTTGGTCCTTTGGGATCAGGAGAACCTTTTCCCTTTTACTGGGATATTGGTTTTCATAACCATCTGTCCCCATAACGAGTGGCACTGGTGGGGATACTGGGAAACTGGAGTGTCTGAGGGAATTGCTGGTGTGACTTGTAGTTCACCAGTGGGGTGAGACCGAAGTCCTCTCTGGCTGGCTGGTTTGGTGTCTTAGAAGTGGAGAAACCCCAGCTGGGGCTGTAACTGCCCGACTCTCAGCAATTTGTCCTGAATTGATACTCTCAGAAGTGTCCCACCAAAGGCAGCATCGTTACATCCCGGCTCTGCCACTCACGCAGCTCTGTGCCTCAGTTTCCCCTCCCCTGGGAGCTCTTGGGGCAGGTCCCAGCCCAATGGTGGGCCCCGATCTCGCTTGGGGCATTGGGGTGCCACATTAACAGACCTGGGAAAGGGGACCCGGCCTGTTCCCCATGGCTCACGTGGGCGCCCAGGGCGGGGGACGGGACGCTCACCTCGTCGGGGGCGGGGAAGAGGGCCAGGAGCTCCGGGTGCCGGTTCTCCTTGCGCAGCTCCTCGTTACCCCGGTCGAGCTCCTCCATGGCCGTGTGCTCCAACAGGGCGGGCAGCAGCGGGTCGGCCACCGAGTTCTTCAGGTCGAAGACGCTGGACGCCCAGCTGCCCCGGGGCGTGTCATCCAGGGAGGGCGAGCGGCGCTTCAGCTCCTCCTGGCGGGGTGTGTGGAGGGGTGAGGGGGGTGTCCTCCCACCACACCCACAGCCCAGCCCCCCCAACGCGCCCCTCTCCCCCAATGTCCCTCCAGCCCAGCCCCCCCTCCTGCAGAGCCAGATGATACCGCTGACCCAGCCACGGATCCCCCCAACCGGGGCCACGCTCTGCCTGGGGGCATCCTCCCTTGCCCCCAGGCCTCACCGGCTCCTCCGCGGCCTCGTCCAGCTCGAAGACCTGCCGGGGCAGCACCCTCTGTCTCTGGCGGTGCCGCTCGGCCGTGTTGGGGCTGTACATGGTGCTGAGCCGCTGGTACCTGCGGGCGTGGGGAGCCTTGGTCACACCCCACTGGGGGGGGGGGTACATCACGGGGGAGGGGGACAGAACCAGCTGTGGGGCTCGTGTGTGCCGTATTGCCACCTGTGCCCTCTGACACGCCCGGATCAGCCCAGCCCAGGTAGAGAGGGGCGGGGCCCCGGCTCAGAGCACAGGAGTGGGAGCCAGGAACTAACCACCCCGCTCTGTGCCTCGGTTTCCCCATCTGTAAAACAGAGGATGGCGCCCCCTCCTTCCAAGGATTCAGCTGCTGTGTAACCCGAGCTGACGGACGGACAGATGGGCAGAAGACAAACAGCCTACTGTCCCCTGGCCAAGCCTCCGGTCACGCCCGGCCCCGGAACACGCGGCAGAGCTGGGCTGGGCTGACAGAGCCCCGGGCACCAGGAGGAACAAGGTCCCTTTCTCCAAGGACTGAGCGGGCGGCTGGCTCCGGCACAGCTCCAGGCAACCCAGCCATGCGCCAGCGAGCTGGGCCCATCCCTCTGGCCTCCCGCCAAGTACGGAGCAGGCCAGCGATTTCAGCCTGCAGGAGAGGGGACGGGAGACATGCTCGAGGTTCGCCCTGCCGCCTCCGACCGGCCGCGGGGCACTCCGCCAACTTACTTCCTCCGCACCACCAGCCAGTCCTCCGTGTAGACCTGCACCGCGTCCCGCACCCGGGCATCCAGCTTCCTGGCGGGAGGGAAGCACACAGGGCTCGCCTCTGAATCAGCAGGTGGAGGGAAGAGGGCAGGGGACGCTCGGGCAGCGGGCACACAGCAACCCCGCGGCCTTCAGAACAGCCAGGACACCTGGGTTCCCTCTTCCTGGCTCTGCTGCTGGCCGGCTGGGTGACCTTGAGCAAGTCACTCTGCCGGCATTAAATTAACTAATTATAACTCTCTAATTAAGCCTCGTCACAGGCCCCGGGAGCAGGCAAGGAGCATTATCCCAGCCATGTGTCCAGGCCGGGGGAGGGGGACCTGCAGTGCCAAATGCCCCATCTCAAAGCGCCCCCTTGTGCAGCAGAGGACGGGGCTGTGCCAGGCACAGGGTGTGCACGGCAAGGGGGCGAGACAGAGAGAGGGCGGGGGGTGATCACGGGGCTGGGAGCAGAAAATTCATGAGCTCTGATGCCTCAAGTCCCCGCCCCCATCCAGTCTGTATAGCCCAGGCCACACCCCTTATCCTGAGTCCCACGCCCCATCCAGTCTGTATAGCCCAGGCCACGCCCCTTATCCTGAGTCCCTGCCCCTGTCCAGTCTGTATAGCCCAGGCCATGCCCCTTATCCTGAGTCCCTGCCCCTGTCCAGTCTGTATAGCCCAGGCCATGCCCCTTATCCTGAGTCCCTGCCCCTGTCCAGTCTGTATAGCCCAGGCCATGCCCCTTATCCTGAGTCCCTGCCTCCCCAGTCTGGTCAGTACCCCTGGTGCCTCAGTTTACCCATGGGGAGGACACAATGCCCCAAGATGTAGGACCCTGTGGTAGACACGCTGCCCCCTGCTGGTGGCTGGGCAGTACTGAGACGCTAACCCGCATTGCCCCGTCCAGGGCTGGGGGTCTCTTGCAGCACCACACAGGGCCAGGTCCCACCCCTCTCCCACCGTTCAGTAGCAAGCCCCAGCCCAGGCACCCACCCCTCGTCGGGCACCCCCGGTTCCAGCGTGCGGCATTCCCGCGGCTCCCGGACCACCTCCACATCGTCGGCGGGGAACTCGATCAGGTCACGGAGTGGGCCAGGCTCCAGCTCGGGGGGGTGGGCAGCCAGATACTCCTCGAAGTCCACCGGCTCCACCACCTCTGTCAGCGGCACCTGCGGGGACAGACCGGTCAACACAGCGCTGCTCTCCCCAAACCCCACCCACCACTGCCCCCTGCTGGTCGCTGGAGCAGGGACGACCCCTGTGTGGACCCCCCAGGATGAGACAGGCTGCGCTCCCCACAGCGGTGGGATAAGCTAAGGGTTAGAGCAGGAGGCTGGGAGCCAGGACTCCTGGGTTCTATCCCCAGCTCTGGGAGGGGAGTGGGGTCCCGTGATTGGAGCAGAAGACTCAGGACTCCTGGGTTCCTTTGCCAACTCGGGGTGCGATCTGGGGTACCATATCAGTGCCTGTCTTTTTAACGAACCTTGACTGAGCGGGGAGAGCGCCCCCTGCTGAGCTCCTGGCAGCCCGGCACAGCTGAGAGAGAGTCAGGATCGACTGGGTCTAGAGCGCCCCCTAGCAAACCCCCAGCATCGCTCCTGCAGCCCCCCAGCTCCCTTCCGCTGCTCCCCCGCCAGGTATCTTCCCAGCCCGGCCACCGAGAGGCAGCAGGAAACCAGGCAGCTGCCGGCACGCGGCTGACCAAGGGGGCTCTCTCAAGGCTCCTGGGCTGGGTGGGGGCCGTGCTGGCTGACGGGAGGGGGCACGGGTAGCACAAGCCATCTGTGCTGGAGGAAATCGCAGCGCCGACCTGCCCACGAGCGCCTGCCGGGCCAGCACTGACCGGGCAGGAAACCAAAACCACACGGGAAAGGGAAGGGGAAACCAACGCGGTTAGATCTAAAGCGCGCCGCAACCCTCCCCCTTGGCGCCTGGTCCCACGGGGCTAACGGAGGCCGATGCCAATGCTCTGGCCCCGAGCCTGCCAGCAGACGGAAACGCCCCGTTCTCCACGGCATGCCCCCCGCAGCGCAGCTCCCCTGCTCTAACCACTAGCCCCCCACTCCCCTCCCAGAGCTGGGTAGAGAACCCAGGAGTCCTGGCTCTCAGCCCCGCCCCACTCTAACCACTAGCCCCCACTCCCCTGCCTAAGCTCCGCGGGTTCGCTGCTCAGAAGGGCGGCAGCTGCGGGAGAAGGGCCTGGAGACAGCTGTGGAGAAGGAGACCGTGCCGTCCGCCTCCCAGCGCGGGCCCCTCGCTGATCCCCCGCGGGACCCCAGGGTCCCAGAGCCGAACGGAGAAGGGACGACGGGGAACAAGGGCAGCTGTGGGAAATTCCGTGGCTGTCTCCCCGCCCAGGTGGAGGGGGCCCACCAGCCCCCTCGTGCCTCGCCACGGCCCCATGTCTAGCAGGGGTCACGAGCCGGCTCCAGCCGTGACTCCCAGCCCTCGGCGGCGCCACCTCGGGCAGGCGGGCGCTACCTTTCCACACCGAGGTGGCAGGTTCGATGCCTGCTGCCGCCCCCACATCCGCCCGAGCCCAGAGTGGTGGGCGGGGCCTCCAAGCAGGCAGGCGAGATGGGCCCGGGAAGGGCGGGGCCAAGGGGGTGGAGTCCTGGGACGTTCCCATGATGCTTAGGGAAGAGCCAAAGGCAGGAGCCGGCGCTAACGTTCCCCAAGGTGGCTCTGTCCCCGTCTAGTGGCCGGACCATGTTGAGAGCCAGGCGGTGCCAGGGGCGGAGGGGGGCAGGGCGCTGGGGTACTCACCAACTGCTGGGACCCGCTGCGCTTCTTGGAGAGCTGGGGGGACCCGCCGTGCTCCCGCGACACCTGCTTCCGCACCTCAGCGGCCACCGTCCTGCAAGAGACACGGGTCAGGGGCCAGAGCGCCCTGGGCTCGGCCTAGAGCCCGCGGGCACCCACGCCGCCTCGGCACATGCAGCCGCACAGGAACAGAACCCAGGAGTCCTTCCTGTCCCCCAGGCCTCTGGTCTAACTGCTAGGTCACACTCCTGCTCAGAACAGAACCCAGGAGTCCAGGCTCCCAGCCCCCCTCTGTGCCCGGCTGCAGATTAGCTCAAACACACGCAGCTGAGCCGGAGGAACGCACTCCCAGCCCCACGCCAGCAGCTGCTGCCCCCCGCCCTCCATCACAGCCTCAGCTGGGCACCCAGCAGGCTCTGAGCTCCCCCCATGGATCACCACAAGGCCTGGGGGTGGCGCTGGCGAGCCCGGGGGAGCCTCCTTGCTGCACCGCAGCGTTTGGGTTTTAATTCCCCTTCTCTCAGCGATGCGCACTGAGGACGCCAGGGCTCTGCCACTGACTCCTTGTGTGACCTTGGGTAAGTCACTATGCTGCCCCGTGCCTCAGTTTCCCCACCCGCAACATGCAGACAATGATCCTTCCATTTTTCTCTCACTGGGTTAGGGACTGTCCCTCGCTTGGTCTGTGCAGCGCCTGGCACGACGGGGCCCTGATCTCGGCTGGGGGCTGGGCAGCGCCCGGCACGACAGGTCCCTGATCTTGGCCGGGGGTTGGGCAGCGCCCGGCATGATGGGGGCCCCCGATATCAGTGAGGGTTCTTACGCGCTACCGTAATACACCTACTACTAGTAACGGAGCTGGCAGGAAACAGTGGGCCTGGGTTTGGTAGATTTGCTAGCTCTCTCCAAAGGTGGTCACCATCACCCCCATTTCAGAGATGGAGAAACTGAGGCACAAAGCGGGGAAGGGGCTTGCCCCAGGGTACCCAGCGGGCCTAGAACCCAGGAGTCCTGCATCCCTGGCACAAGTGTTCTGGAAGCAGGGACCCTCTCCCGCACTGGCTTGAGCCCCCCGTCCCGGGAGGGGGGCCCCCGGATTCCTTCCAGCTCAGGGCTGTGCCTCCTAGAAGCCGACATGTGCCCCGGAGTCAGCCCAGCTGGGGTGAGGTCAGCCCTGGCCCCGGCTCAAGTTCCCGGGGGGGCACGTCACGATGAGCAGACGTCCCCCCCCTTGCAGACAGGCACTGCTAGGCGCGTGTGAAAGGAGACAGGCGGGCCCTGCCCGGCTCCCCGCGCTGCCAGGCGGCCCCACACCCGGAGATCTCCCCACGGCGACGCAGAGACAGCTACAAGTGGCATCTGCCTGCACGGAGAGCAGGCGTGAGCGGGGCTGGGAAATCCCGGGGGGCGGCAGTGGGGGGCGGGGGCTGCTGTGGTCTCCCCGCTCCCTACTTCAAACAACGACTTTATCTGCTTAACGACACTTAACCCCTGCCAGGCCTGTACCAGAGCGAGGGGGAAAGGGGGGAGCTAGTGCTTCGAGGGGGGAGTCAGGACTCCTGAGTCTCTCCAGGCTCTGGCAGAGGAGTGGGGTCTAGTGGTTAGAGGAGGGGCTGGGGGTCAGGACGCCTGGGTTCTCTCCTGGCTCTGCGAGGGGAGCAGGGTCTAGGGGTTAGAGCAGAGGGCTGGGGGTCAGGACTCCTGGGTTCTCTCCCGGCTCTGACAGGGAAGTGGGGTCTAGTGGTTAGAGCAGGGGAGGCTGGGGGTCAGGACTCCTGGGTTCTCTCCAGGCTCTGGCAGGGGAGTGGGGTCTAGTGGTTAGAGCAGGAGGCTGGGGGTCAGGACTCCTGGGTTCTCTCCAGGCTCTGGCAGGGGAGCAGGGTCTAGGGGGTAGATTTCAACTTTTCAGTGGGAAAAGAAAATATCAATCAGTCAAACCAACAACTTTCAGCCCCAACCTTCCCCCTCTGAAATGGGGCCGTGGCCCCCTTGAGGTGGAGCTAAGAATCGAACCCAGGTGTCCGGGGCCCTGCCCAGTGCCTTCCCCGCACACCAGGCCTGAGTCAGCTCCGAAGTGCTCGCGGCTCCGCACTGCTCCGACACCCGGAGCCCCCTCCGAGGCGAGTACAGAGCGAGCGACGGGCTCTGGGGGGAGCTCCCTGCCCCGCCAGAGGGGAGAGGCCCCCGAAGAGCCGAGTGTCTCCAGGCCAGCAGCTCAGAGCGGGTACAAGCGGCTCCCCAGGGTCCCAGTTCTCCCAGCGAACGGAACAGCACAGACCAGCTGGCGCCAGCCGCCCGGGTTCCTCTCGTGCCCTCCACCCTCGCTCCGGCCGGGGACTCAGCTGGGCACCCCTCTGGCTGGGCTGGCAGTGCCAGGCGGTGCCACCCACGCGACTGCACGCTACCGCCGGCTTGGCAGCTGCCGGCCCAGCCTCCCCGGCTCAGCCCAACTTCCTGGGGAGCCAGATGTTTTTCCAGCCGGCTCCTCGGCCAGGCTCCCACGCTCCAGCAGCGGGGCGGGTTCCGGGGGGGGGAGGAAGAAAGGAAGAGGAGTCTTCGGGGTGGCCGGCTGGTCGAGTGCCCCAAGCTAGCCCAGCAGGGACCCCAGCTTCCCGGGACTGCAGGGCACACGACCACGCTAGGGGCTTGCGGCTCAGAGCCCGGTGCAGACAAGGCCTGAGGGTCACAGCCCCCCACCCACCCCCCTGGGAAAGGCGACTGGACCCCGGGACAATAAAGCCAGCGACAAACCACCCGAGTTTTTAACCGCGGGAGTCCTGCAGGCTGGTGTGCCGGGCCTAGCGCCCCGTCCCACGCCCAGGGGCCGCTAACGCCCGGGCCCAGTGGGCGGCTCGGCCCCCTAAGGAAAGTGGCGCCCCCCAGCTGCAGGGGAGAGACAGCAATGACCAGAGCCGGGATTTGGTCAGGACTCCAGGGTCCCTCCCCATCCCTCCCGTGTGCCAGGGCATGCAAAGGGTGGTACCGCCTAGCACCAAGCTGGGGCATTGGGCCCCAAAGGGAGAGAGAGCGCCCCCCCACCCCCCCAGCACAGGCGAGAAGCAGCAGCCTGGGGAACAAATATTTCCCGCCGGGCCGGAGTCTAGCAGCCAAAGACCAGCTGCTCCCCGGGGCCCCCTCGGCCATGAGGCCAGGCGAGTGGTCCGGCCACGGCCAGCCTTCCTGCCCCCTCCCCTCCGCCGGGCCAGGCCCAGCTGCCCCTACCAGGGGCAAAGGGCAGGGGAAGCGGGGCGGGGCCGTGACTGGGGAGGACGCAGAGGCCGTAAATAAGCTGCAATCGGCCCAGCCCTGCGGGCGGAGGGGGATCTGTCCGGCTCCGAGGTGCTGGGATCCGGCCAGGAAACCTGGCAGCGACGGCAGCGCAGGAAGATGCTTTGTGGGAGAATCCGTGCGCTGGCTGTGGGGGAGGGGGAACCCGGCCGCCTGCAGCCCCACAACAACACCGGGCCCCCTTTAGCTGAAGGTGTCAGGCCCCCAAGTAACTCAACGGGAGCTCAACGCCTAGATCCCTGCCGTGGCTCCTATCCAGCATGGGCCAGGGGAAATCATTCACCCTCCCCTTACAGACAGGGAAACCGAGGCAAAGAGGTCACCAGGATCGGTTTGCCAGATTGTGAGCTCCTTTGGGTCACAGCTAGGGACTCCGTCCGCCCACAGCCTGGGACCGAGGGGCGAATGGGAGGGGCGTTCCTGGGACTAGCTCCGAGACAGGCTCCAGCCGCAGGCTGAACAATGGTTTATTGACGGGGACTGTGATAGCACCTTGGAGCCCTGCGATCGGCTCCCCTGCTGGGCCGGGTGCTGTCCTGGGCTAGGCGGGGCTCCCCTGCTGCGCCGGGTGCTGTCCTGGGCTGGGCGGGGCTCCCCTGCTGCGCCGGGTGCTGTCCTGGGCTGGGCGGGGCTCCCCTGCTGCGCCGGGTGCTGTCCTGGGCTGGGCGGGGCTCCCCTGCTGGGCCGGGTGCTGTCCTGGGCTGGGGGGGGGTCTCCCCTGCTGGGCCGGGTGCTGTCCTGGGCTGGGGGGGCTCCCCCGCTGTTCCTGCCGGAAGGGGCTCACAGTCCGATTAGACAAAGGGGTGGGGGGAGGAATTTTATGCCCCTTTTTGCAGCTGGGGGAACCGAGGCTGAGAGAGTGGAGGGGAAGGATGGTGCAGTGGTTGGAGCGCTGGCCTGGAACCTGTGAGGCGCCCAGATGGCACAGGGATGTGGGCAGACAAGTACCTGAGACAGGTAAATGAAGAGACTTGCCCAAGGGAGTCTGCAGCCCGGGCAGGTCCCAGACCCGTCTCTTACCCCCTCAAGCTATCCCCACGGGACGTGTCTGCCCGCTGCCCCCCCCTCGGAAACCAGGGGCACGCGCAGCCGCACACCCTGCTGCCCGGCCCAGCCCAGCCCGCCGCGCACACATCCGCCACCGGGAGCCTGGCGAAGGAAAGAGGAAGCCGCAAGCAGCCACAGAGGCCGGGGAGGGAGAGCCCAGGGCACTGCTGAATTATTCACACACCTGTTCCCTGCTCGCTGCCAGCTCATGAGATGACCCCAAGGCCCCGGCATTGTCCATTTCACACACACACACACACACCCCGCCCTTACTCCTTTGGTTATTGCCGGGCGCTGAGCTGTGTTGAGGGGGTGTTGGGGGGGGGGGAAGACGTGACACAAACCCAAGACTCCGGCCGCAGAACAAAACCGACACAGTCCAACGTCCACGAACTGCTATTTAAATAGGAATGGGGGCACGGGCAGGCCCGGCTCCTCGCCTTCCACCTACGAGACACCGGCGCTTTGCCAAAGCATCAGCCCCACACTTTGCAAACTACACCCCCCCGCCCCCCAAGCAGGAAGGCAACAAAGCCCAGCGATTAAAAACTGCAGGGCCAGCTCTGATCCCCGCGGGAAGAGCCAGGAAATGGGCCAGAATTTCCTTCCGCGGGATGAAACAATGCACTCAGAGCGGGGCCGGCTGAAGGCCGGGAGGGGAGGCGGCACCAGTGACCGTTGCCTAGGGCAGGTCTTGCCTGGACCCAGAGGATGGTGGCGCGTTAGGCACACCCGGGTTAAGATCCTGGGGTATACGGGGCACGTGTCATGTCACCGCGTTACCTGGCCCAAGTAAACTCTCGTGGGGAACCGAGGGCCGGTCCACGCTTCCCGGCGATCAGCTCAGCCTGTCCACACCAGGCTCCTCGGAGGGGGCAGCCAGCGCCCGTTACAGGCACCCTCCCAAAGCAGAGTCTACACAAGGCTGCAGCTGGGCCAAGGTTTTGTGGCGGAGGCGAGCACCAGCGAACGCTGGGCTGGTAAAACCCACCTCACCCCAGGGCACCCTCCGGAAATACCCCGTGTCTCCCATGCCACAGGCAGCCTGGCGTCTCGGGTGCCGACCCGGCCCCGGGCAGCTCTAGCATTTCACGACGGGACACGCCTGGCACAAGCACGTGCAAGAAGTCACCGATGCTCCTTACACGGGGAGAGGGGGGATTCCTGGCTGCCCCCTCCCCCAGCCATCTTCTGGGGCTGGATCTCAGCTCACTCCAGTTCTCAGCCCCATCGGCGCCCAATCCCACATCCTTGGAAAGAGGCGAGTGGGGGTGACTGGCAAAGGCAGGAGGGGTGGTCCGCTCACACGTCTATTGGTGGAGGAGGAGAGGGGAGATGCCAGCTAGGACCCCATAGCGCATGGGGTCCCTCCCACGGACCCACCCCACCAAGGCCGTGCTAGGAAGCGGTTCACGATTCTATCCCCCTCCCCCAGTGCACATCCTGGGGACCCCCCCCCACACCCATTCAGCCTACACCTGGCAGGAGGGGGCCCTGCTGGGAGGTGGAAGCAGGTTTTGGGGTGCACCAGGCTATTGGCTGTCAGAGGGGATGGGGACATGGCACCCCCAGTGCATAGGGAGCTGCAGAGCTCAGGGATGCCCCACAGGGGAGGGATCGGGGGGGGGGATCAGGGCTGGGAGTGGGGGCACCATGGGGTTAGAGGGGCTCATGGGAGGCAGAGAGAGATGCACGGGGATGGGCGGAGGTGCACAGAGTGGGGTGCCCATGGAGTAGGTACAGGGTACCATAGGGTACCATAGGGGGGTTCTGCTGGGGCTGTGGGTTGGGGACTGGGTACCCCGAGGGGGCAGTGGGTGCCTTGGGTGCCCTCAGTGGGTACCCTTGGGGGTGCTGGGTGCCCTGGGTGCTGGATGCCGGGTGGGTGCCCTGGGCCATGAGGGCTGGGTGCCCCAGGGAGGCTAGCTGGGGCGTGGGCACTGGGTGGGGGAGGTTGTCTGGGGGGGGGCACTCAGTGCCCAGGGTGATGGGTGCGTGCGGGGGGGTGCCCAGTACTGGGTACCCTGGGTAGTGGGTGGGTGCTGGGTGCCCGGGGGGGGGGGGCTGGGCGTGGGGGGTGGGTGGTCCTGGGCAGGTGGCTGGGGGAAAGTTTGGGGGGCTGGGGGGGGGGCAGGGATGGGGTGCCCCGGGGGGA